GAGAGAGAGAGAGAGAGCTAAAGTTTGAACAATGGTTAGAGAGAAATACCAGTCGCCAGTTCGAGGATGTCGGCTCATCGAAGGGACCCGAAAAGTAGGGGCCAAGTCCATTCCTCTGTAATTCTTAGCTTCCTCATCTGTGCAGCTCAGTAACCTGGTAATGTGACCAGGCTGACCCCTCTTTCTAAAGCTATGCATGAGACCCACTGTTTGCCAATCAAAGTAATTTTGACACTCAACAGAGAACAATGTATGGATCCTCCTCTCATCTTTCCCATCAACAAAGCAGAAGAACCCAGATTCCATAACCAAAAGAGGAAGAAGAATAAGCCATTTCCCAACTGAAATGGCCATATTCCTTAATTGGGTTTCTTCAATGGAGTGAGATAAATCTCAGTTGAAGCTGAGGAGAGAGAACTTGAGATACAGATCTCATGGAGCTGTTGGGTTCATTCGAGCCACCTTGGTTTTGGAGTCAAACCCATCATCGAATATTATTTAGGCCTAAACAATTTACCAACGCAAAGTGGTAACACATGGGGAAAGAAAAAGTTGTTTCACATGTTAATTGACTTCAGAGAGAGAGAGATAGAGAGAGAGAGGTGGTAAGAACGAGCAAGCTCATTTGTGGAGAGAGAGAATGAACTAAGATGTTAGAGAGAGAGAGATAAGTTTGGGGTAAAACATGTAGCAGGGCAACCTGGAGAGAGAGAACTAAAGATGTTATTTTCAGAGAGATATGGTAAAAATCAAGCAGGCTGAAAAGGCTGAAGCACTATCAAAATAAGTAGATCGTCGTCTCATATCTCATCGAAAATTCCAGGTTTGAAAAACCTTTATATTTATCATCTTGTCTTGATCATTATGGTTAATTAAAAAAAAAAAAAAAAAATTGAAAATAATGTATATTACAACAAATTATCTTAACCGTTTCTTAAAATAAATATCAATTTTTTTAATTTCAAAATTTACTGTCATTGTGGGAAATTAATTTTAAAGCATTTCCGTGGTGAAAAAGTACTTTTCAGATAAGGTTGTGAGATAAGGCTTTATTTTGTGTCCATATAGCCTAGGCGTTATAGCAATCTCATCCCTTGGTTAATTGATACTGTTCAGTAGCTGTAGTTAAGTAAGGAATGATAATTAATGTGGGCTCACACTACAAGAGCCCATTGAAGAGAAAGTGACGCGGCGCCATCACATTTGGCTTATAATAATACTCACTTTGACTTGTCTTCAATAAACGATAGAGACAAACCTATACAATTAGGGTTGATTTCATTATGAATCCTCTTACATAATTCAGAAGCTTTCAACAAAACCAAACAACCCCCGGATCCCAATCCATAACACAAAAAGAAGATAGAATATTTAGTAGTTAAATATACAAAAGAAAATCCTGATAAATTCATGGTTACAAGCATACAGAAATTTCATTTGGTTTCTTTTTTTACAAGAGAGTACTTATGATTTTTTTCACTTTTTACAATATTGGGTATCTGGCTTCAATGTTCCTCTTCAAGTATTCTTCATTGTCACTTTTTTTTTTTTTTAGAGCACAATTACCATTGTGCCTCTCTGGTTTTTCTTTTTGAGAGGGATACATAAGAAAAGGGATAGGGGCCGTCACACGGTAAAAAGGCTAGGATAGCTAGCACAAGAACACGGATTCGAGTCCTAAGAGCGGCCACTTTGTGTATAAACTGATGGTTAAGACTGTTTCCAGTCCACCCATCCCGAGACCCTGCTTAGGCGGGACCAACACCTGGTTACGGCCTTACATAAAAAAAGGGATGCCTATGAAATATCCAGGAGGGTATTCTTCTTTCTGAAACTACGCAAGAGTAGACCACCTGCAAGTGCATATCTCATCCTCAAAGTGAGATTAATGGCTCATATCCCTCGATGTAACTTATTTTCTGAGATTTGGGAGATGAGCTCAGAAGAAGTATGGGGAGAGGGAGAGCTCACTGCAATTCCACCACCTTACCACCTATCTCCACAGCTGCATTTCCCATCCTTGAAGTGATGATAACAACTACCATCGTTCACCATAACTTCCCTTTGCTTAATTCGTGAGAGAAGCTTAGTACAAGTATGGCAATCGATACACATACGTAGGCTTTTCACAATGCGAACACAATTGCTACCTTTTAAAGCTACTAACCCCAAGCATATTGCAAGCTTCTCAGTGTGAAAGCACGAGAATTGATCGAATTCCCTCTCATCTTCTTCCCAAAGAATCGGATCTCTAGGCACGTAGCCCCCCTCCTCCATTTCTGTAGCCAACCTCCCCCATGTCTCCAAAATCTCATCCAAATTCTCATATGAATTATTCCCTGCCCTGAATTCATGAAGCCTCAAACCAATCTCTATTGAGCTACTTTCTCCCTCTATCGCTAACCCGCGAGCTATAATGGCTTCTCTCACATCTCTAGCAGAGTTCCACATGCCTGTCATGGCATATATGTTTGATAACATGATATAGTTTGATGCGTTGTTTGGCTCGAGTGCAAACAAAGCCTTTGCAGCTTGTTCACCAATGCTGATATTCGAATGCATTCGACATGCTCTTAGTAGAGTCCCCCATACACATGCATCAGGCTCATATGGCATTTTGTTAATGAAATTGAGTGCCTCTTTGAGCAAACCAGCACCACCCATGATGTCCACCATGCATGTATAATGCTCTAAGGTGGGCACGACCCCATAGTTCTTTTTCATGCATTTGAAAAACTCCCACCCTTGTTCTACTAGGCCACCAGTGCTACAAGCACACAGAATTGCAATGAGGGTGATATGGTTTGGCTTGAACCCAGCATTCTGCATCTCTTCAAACAAGGTCATGGCTTCATGAGTCATCCCATGCATGGCATAGGCCACGACCATGGCATTCCACACAGCCACATCTCTCTCCATTGCAAGATCGAATGCATGCTCAGCATTGATGACGCTTCCACATCTTGCATACATGTTTATTATTGAACTTGCAAGAGTTGCAGAACCCCCACTAAACCCTAATTTTACAGAGTAGCCATGGATTTGACTGCCAAGCCTGAGTCGCAGAAGGTCGCTACAAGCTGAGAGAAGAATCAGCATAGTTATGGAGCTCGGAAAGAGACCATCTTCGAGCATTTGCAAGAAGAGACTCATACATTCATTGGGCTTCCCATTCTGGTTATACCCTGCTAATAAGCTATTCCAGCAAACTGTATTCTTATCAGAGATCATATAAAAGGCCATGGACGATGAACACATGTCCTCACATTTTGAATACATATGAACCAGAGCACTCGATACAAAGACATTATTTTGAAAACCTTTCCTTAGAAGATAGCCATGGATTTCCTTTCCTTGAAGCTTTAATTTCAGATCAGCACAAGCTGAGAGAACACTACTAATGGTGATTTCATTAGGCCAAGCTTCCATGTAAAAAAAGTCAAAAGCTTCAGCAACATTTCCACTGGCTCCTCCTGGTTTTAGTAACTCATGAAACAGCTTCAAGGCATCACCTGCAAGCCCAGCTTGCTGAAAACCTGCAATTAGTAAATTAATGGAGACAAAATCAGGCTTCAAACCCATTGACCCCATGTCCCGAAAGAGTTTAAAGGCTTCTTCTTTTTGCCCCATTTTTGCATAGCCAGCAAGCAAAGTGTTACAGGCAATTGCATCTGGTTTCACCCCATCCCTCACCATTTGATGCATAATTTCCAAAGCCTCTTCCATCTTCCCCTGGTTCACATAACCAGAGATCATTTCGTTCCAAATTGCTGAATTCTTCTTCTCAATTGTTGCAAAAACTCTTTGTGCATAATCACAAGCCTTGCATTTCAAATACATATTGATCAAAGAGCCTTCCACAAAGAGATCAACATAAAACCCATGTTTGTTAGCATAGCCATGAATCTCCTTTCCAAGTTTGAGAGCCTTGGGATCTGAGCAAGCACCAAGGATGCTCGATATTGTAACTGAATTGGGTATTTCAAAAGCTTGCATTTCGCAAAAGAGATGTAGAGCTTCATTTATAAATCCATTCTTTACACAACCTGAAATTATACCATTCCATGAATTAACTCCAGGTTTTAGTCCTCTCCCTCTCATCTCACCCAAGAGTTGCCGAGCCCTTTCGAGGTCACCCAACTGTGAAAACCCGGATATCAAAGAGTTCCAAGCTATCAAATCAGGGGTGATTCCCGATAACTCCATGGATTCAAAGCAATCAGAGGCCAAATCCATGAGACCCAACTCTGAATAAGATGAAATTAAAGAGGTCCATGAAACAACATCTCTCAAATCCATCCTATCAAACACTTTTCTAGCATCATCCAAACTTCCACACTTTGCATACATGTCTATAAGAGAATTGCTCATAACCAGGTCTAGTTCAAGCTCAAACCTAATCAAGAACCCATGAATTTCCTTGCCCATTTTCAGAGACTCAAGGCCAGAGCAAGCCTTAAAAATGGTGGGCAAAAGAAACTTATCAGGAAAAATGCCTTCAGCGACCATTAAGGCAAATATTCGCAGAGCTCGAATCCACTGCCCATGTTTACAGTAAAGGCCGATAAGTGAAGCATAGGCCATGGCGTTTCTGTCAAGCATTGAATTGAAAACTTGTTCTGCATCATTTACACATGAATTTTGAGCATATATAACCAGTAACTTGTTTTGGAATCTTGGATCTGTATAAATTGCCATTTTTAGTGCAAAAGCATGGGCTTGCCTGGCCTCTGCAAGATTGTTGTTTTGTAAGAGAGAGAAACATGAATTGAAGTCTACTACTGCTGGTTTTTGGTCTCTTCCTCTCTCTACTGGTATTATCTTTTTATGGTCTCTTTCTCTCTCTACTTTTACCGGTTCCTTGAGAATGGGAACTGTGGTTGTGGCTTTTGTGATGGAGTGTTTTTGTGAGCGTGGGTCATAAAGCTTGGTGGATGTTATGGCAAAAGGATGAGAATTGGGTGTGGAAGAGAGAGAGAATGGGGAGTTCCGGTGCAATTTGAAACGGGAGAGAGGGTGGGAGAAGTGGCCATGGAGTAGTTCCATGAGAGCATCTCTCTCTTATCTCTCTCTAAAAGAGGCCATTACTCTCTCTCTAAAAGAGGCCACTACGCGCACTGCCTCCGTTGTAAACCAGTATGGACGCTGGCTGCTCCCCATTAGTCATGGAGCTTTTTCTAAGCAGCTCTCTCTGTCACTCTCTAAGCTTCATGGAGCTCTCTCTCTCTCTCTAAGCAGCTCTCTCTGTCACTCTCTCTAAGCTTCAGGGAGCCCTTTCCCACTGTTCTAAACTTGACCCGGGATAGACTAAGCACAAGTCGCATGCTCCCTCGGGAGCATATTGTGCATATACTCCCCAAGGCTAAAGAACAATGCTGGAGGAGTTTCTTTTTATCGATCTGGATTTTTGGGGAGGAGTTTCTTTTTATCAATCTGGATTTTTGGGATGGGATTGTACGCAATGAGACCATTTACCATTATTTCACAAATTTTAAATTTAAATTTAAATTTCAAATTATATAACACTTAGATCTCACTTTAGAAAATTGGACCGTGCCTTATTTAAAAGTAGTTTATGTTCATATTATTTTCCTTTTACATCCTTAAATTTTGGGATCGCAATATTATTCCTAATTTAGATTTTATCCAAGGGAGTAAATAAACAAAACACTCCTCGTGCAACTTTTCACAAATTTTGAAAACTCGAACATTTAACGTTTACATTGGGAGCGTTAATGTTAAGGCAGTGGCTCGGACTCTCTTGCACCTTACCATAAAGTTTTTCTCGTCTACTCGCTCCCTCACTAACCACTCGGACTAAGAACTCGCCAACGAGCCAAATTCACACGCCGCACGGGTGGAAACCAGCTCGGCCCTGCGAGGCCAAAACCAAAAGAAAAAAAAACAAAAAACAAAAAACAAAAGCAAAAAAGAAAACAAAACAGAAAAACAAAAATAGGGCCAAGGCGGGCGCCCTCAGGCCATAGTTTGTGCTTAGACTCTACTCTTTTAAGGGAGGCCGGGGCGGGCAGGGCCGACTGGCTCATTAACTCTCTCTCTCTCTCTTTATATATATATACGGCTCATTAACTCTCTCCCTCTCTCTCTATATATATATATATATATATATATATATATATATATATATATATATAG